ACCCCCTGGAAAATTACCTCAGCAGCCACTAAAATTCATTTTTACAAAACTAATTACAGGTATAATTAACTTTTTAAACTTGGTCTGTACTACGAATTTACTCAGACCTATGTGATTTGGCTTTTTTTTCTTTTTTTAAAGTAATTTTATGCAATTTTCCCTTTTTTATTCCTTTGAGTAGCGCCTAGCTGAGTAGGTACTGTTTGGGTGGGAGGCCATATAGCTACAGTGTATCTCATCAAAGGAAGGCATTTCTTAGCAGGTGGTAAAAATAAACTCAGAGTGACATATAGTTGGACCTGAATGGCTTGCACAGTTGCTGCTACCTGTACAGCTGAATCCCCCAGGGTAAGGCTGGTAGTTACCTGCTTTTGGACTAGCCCTCAGGACAGTTGCCAGAGTATTTCCGATATGCATATCATTATTATGATTTTAAATTTTGAAGTTAAGAAACTCAGGGAGCATATGGTTTGGGCAATTATTGGCAATGCTGTTTTTGTGGAAGTTCGCATTTATGACAAGTCTTGTGGTTTGTTACCAAGAGTACATGTGTATATGTATATTACCAAGTGTTTCTAGTATATGCTAAAGAGTTGGTTGCATTGCAAAAGCTGATTGCACCCTTTGTGCATACATTTTGAGTCAGGCACTTACCCTAAAATACCCTGTGCATATCTCTTATGTGCTTAAATTTTTTGTACGTGCACAGGATTTGTTTGCCCAGGTGAGCGATATATTTGTCAGTACTTTGTTTAGGGGCTGCATTAGATAAGCACTTTAAAGCCATGGTGAATTGTTTTTTTAATAAGCAGATACACAAAAAAGTCAATAAAAATTTCCATTTTCTTTCACTCTTCACCCATCTGAATTTAGAGACTTGAGCCATTTCACATAGCCCTGGCTTCGTAAGTCCTCTTCTGGTTGCAGATAAGCCAGTGCAGGAAGTAACTCCACCCTGCCTTCCTGCTTGAGCTTATGGACTTCCCACACCCCAGCCGGTATCCATCAAATAAACGAGCTTAATGTGAACAATTTCAGTAGCGTTTCTTCACTATTCCAGATCATTTTGACAGAAACTTGTTATCAAGGCATTGCACAAGTGAAACAGCTGGCAGCTGGGGATGGGCAGAGGTGCAGTTAGAGTGGGGCTTGAGCCAGCACAGTTGAAGGTGGAAAAGAATTAGCATTAGCTAGCATATTTTGATGTTTTTATTTAAAGTTGCTGCTTGCTAAATTAATTTAAAAATAAAGAAATAGTTATTTTAAGAAGCTGTAGGATGCGGAAAGCCTATGCATGGAGTGCTGCATTTCCGTGGTGATCTGGGAATCTCTTTAACCCCCAGCTTTCACAAGGGGAAAAAAAAAGTTAGAATTTCAACCTTTTTGTTATGAGGAAGATTTGAAACTATAAATCTTTATCGTGGCAGTGAATTAAACTATGACAAACCAAATAAATCCTAAATTTTCAGTGTTACAGGACCAGCTATAATAGCAATATGCAAACATTGTGTGTGCTAGTAGTATGTCTCTAAATGTTAATGGTATTTCAGTTGTCTTTTTTATGTAGTCACCTGTATTCATTTACAGTCTCAGCATTTTGAAATAGTGAGTCAACTCAACAAATAAGGTATTCAGAAAAATCAGACTGTCGCCCCATCTCTCAATGCAATGCAACAATCTGTTCTTGTGCTTTGAGAAGATACGACATCTTGGGGTTTTTGTAGTACTGTTGACATAGAAGCATAGTGTTACACAGTTAATACTGATAACGTATTGAGCATAAGTGTGTTGATTTGTTCACACTGGCATTTTAGGAAGAATACATCCAACTGATGAGAGACAATTCATTTCTGCAATATACCGAAAATCTTCAGATGTGATACAAAGCAGTGGGTACAATGGAAAAGAAAGACTCTGGTGTCAATCCCAATGATACATGTTCTTACCCAAAGATAATAGATTTTTTTTAATTAATTGTGTTACTTTGTTTTAGAGGTTACCTGTATTTTAAGAGAGATTTAAGGAATTTTCAGTAATTTTAGAGTATCTCGAAGGGAACTTTGTGTTGCCGCTGCAGGCAAATCTGATGTTCAGAAACATGTTTAATCCCCTTGAAGTTGATAGCAGAATGTGAAGTTACGTATCCTCATATGGTAACAGGAAGTGTAACTAATCTGTAGAACTTTTAAAGCCAGTAGCAGAAAATACTTACTCCTTTGCTTCAGGGCAACAATGGACAAACTTCAATTAAATCTGAATTCCAGCAATTCTTCAGCAGAAATGTCTGTTCAAAAAAAAAAATCAAAACAGAAAAATATTTTTTTCCTACTTAAAAATAATTTCATTGACTGTTTGCTGTGTGCTCACAGGATGAAAATAACAATAATAAAAGATTTAAAAGTAAAGTTTTGCAACAAAGAACTGGGACATTTTCATTTAAATAAATGGATACAATAATTTTATTAAGTTTTAAGTTAGAAGGAAAAGTGGTAGGGACTAAATATCATTATTCAAAAACAAAAAAATGGAGGCTGTATTCAAAATTGCTTCTTTTAGACTGTAGATTCTGATTATGATTTTTCAGTATCATAAAGATTGTCTTTTTAAAGGATTTTGTGTCTGTTACCTGATTATTTTTTTTTCTGTGAGGTACTGTTACGGGTTTTGTCACTGCTTCCTTGATTCTGGGTTTGAATGTATAATTTAGAACACTTCTTAGTGAGACGAACATCCTTTGATCTGTTAAGTGAAGAAATCTAGGGAAAGAAAAAGGACTCCGTAAGGATGCATAAGGACTCTTCTATGGACTGTATAGGCTCTGTGAAGTGCTATGGGTGAAATGAGTGAAGAGGTTACTTTTTAGTAATTGGATGAGCAGAACTTGAGCAGAGGATGAGGAGAAGATCAGTATTTTTAAGGATAAATTAATGCTTCTGGAACTTAATGGCATCAGGGACTTGTGTTAGGACAAGAAAAGAAATACTCTTCTTCCTGTTTAATGGTTTCCAGTAACACAAATGAGATTTAACTATTTAATAATATCCCTTTGCATTATTGTCTTGCTAAAATCAGCCATATGTGCATTACAGTGTTTCTTAGTAACATGTAAACTGTGCTGATGGTGCAGCGGTGCAGTAACCAGCCTCACGCTGCAGCCCACAGCTGAAGCTTGCCAAAGGAATGCAACAAGACAGTTGTGTAAATGGCCACCTACCAGTTTGTTCAGTTAAAATTCTCCTGCTGTCGTGAACACCACTGTAGCATGTAATGACCCACAAATGCTTCTTTGTACCCTTCCAAAGTACAGTCACAAAACAAAACCAAACCATTTTTTTGGGAGGCGGGAGGGAAAAAGAAGCTAGTTCAGGGTCTCTGTCAGATTCTTACTGTGGTGGTGATGGATTTTGCTCACTTACACTTTCCCTCCACCCCCCAACAAACCGATTATGTGTTTGTCCATTCTGCTTTTTGTGTAAAATGCCTGAGGGCAAATGAAGGGCTCAGACTCTCAAGCGGTTTTCTTATCAATGTTCTAATCAGTGTTCTCAGAAAATATTTTCAGAGTAGTAGCTTCTGAATGATCTGAGACATGGTTCAATACATCTTTGTAACTATGTGTAACTTTCTCACATTCAGTGTTTACTATTGGATTAATATTTCATGAATAAAATCATAGTGAGGGAGACTGATAATATTTTTGGCTCCCTCCCAGACCTAACAGAATTATTTCTTCTGTATTCGTGCTGTAAGGTAGTAATCAAACTGCTTTGTTCCTGTCATTGTTCAGGATAACTTGCTCTCACTATTGCATTAAGAAATCATTCAGAGCATCTAGAAGGCATCTAATTATTTCTTGTGGGGGTTTATTTAAAAACAGCACCTTCACTAATAACTACAGGGAAAAGAGCATGTTCAGAGCTTAGTGATACCTCATCACCCTTTGATAAATTACAAGACCATTGCTTTCCTCCTCTAGAATGAATGAGGGCATCCATAGGTTAATTTATCTTCTCTGTGGCTAGTTCTAGGTCATTCTTGTGCTGGGAAGTGACCAAATGCCCAAGAACTTAATTTCCTGCATCAGTCTTTCTCCCAGACGTCTACCATGGGGAGACCCCAAGCTGCCTGGTACACTGATTTCATGCAGTGTGCAGCTCCTGGAGCTGAACAGACTTATCACAAAAACATTGGTACACTTCATTTTTGAAGCATCTCTTTTATGAGAATTAATTAAAACCTCCAGTACACTGGTGCTTTATGGTTGAAACCCACCATTAAGCAATAGCAGAAGAGGTTTGTGTTGTAGTTCATGGACATTCTACAAGCAATTTTATAGCAATTTTGGGTTGTTTGCTAACCAACTGGGTTGTATTTCATGTACTGCAGGCTTATTAACTTAATCAGAAGTTTCAGTGTGAATGCAGAACCTTCAGGTGCCAGAGATCCCGCTAAATAATCAGTGCTGCCTTCTGATAACAAGATCTGGAGAGGTTTATTTATTTGTCTGTGGGTGGGTTTTTCCCTTTTTTAAAATTTTTTTTTAATTTGATCTCCAAACAATACCATTCGTCCTCCTATCATTTTATGACTGATAATGATCTATCCTATAGCAGTTCATTGTTCCTTTGGAGATTCATGTTTGTCTATCCGTGTATCTGTGTAGACACTGCAGAAAGACTATGAAGAAATATATTACATATTCAAATAGAACTGTGCAATTCTGTATTTCTCACACATTTTATAATATTATTTATCTCTAAATTGCCTAGAATTCTGTAATTGAAAACGTCGAATCTTTGGTGAATTTACATGTGAAAGCCAAGCAAAGTTTTATGAAAAAAACAATAATTATGCTACCCTTTTGTAGAATTTACTTGAAGCTATGCAACCGTACAGGAAGGGAGGATGGAGCACATTTTTATACTTTATCCCCTCTTTTTTGCCGATAAAGCTGTTTTTTTCTGTTGTATTTCTTTTTTCCCCACAGCCCCTGACTATAGCTATCTTAACGACTTGGACCGCATCGCAGATTCCACCTATCTGCCAACTCAGCAAGATGTGCTCAGAGTTCGAGTCCCAACAACGGGGATCATTGAATATCCATTCGACTTACAAAGCGTCATTTTCAGGTAGAAAAAAAGTTTTAACATCCACTTGCTTTATTTCTTTTGTTGCTTTTTACATTAGTAATACCATGTACAGGATATTGGTTAAAAGTACATAAAAAGCAATTATTCTATGCTTTTAAAAGTTGAGCTTGGTCATTATGTTTTCATGTAATTGTCCACATATAATAAGGACCTGATGTTAAAGATGTCAAAAGGATGAAAGACAATTAGGTTTGTCTTTTTCTGAAGGTAGTTATTATCAACTTTTCAATAATATATGTCAAAGTTTCACTATGAATAATAATCTGAAAATACAGTCATGTGTCCTCATAATTCATGTAAATTATGGAATACAAAGTTACCACTTAGGTAGTTGATTTTTAGACATAAATTGCTCTCCTTTAGAAAGAAATCAGGACTTGCACTTGAGTGCAAGTACAGTTGTTTAAAAAATAACAGTGCAATTGCAATTGGAAATTAGACACCTGTGTTTAGTTACACTGAGACACAGGATGAAGTGTGAATATTTTGCAAGCAAATTTTAGTTTTAATTTTGGCTATAAAAACTTTTAGTAGGTACATACTGTATTCTGTTTGTCCTCTTAAAATGGGGCAGCTTTAACAAGTTGGGAATTTTGACTCTAGTAATGTGGGGAGGAAAGGCAGACCACCAAGTCTATTCTGTTCAGATCTGTTTCTGCTGAATACACAGGACATACTGCTGAATCATGGCTCATGAGACCTTTGTATCTCAGAAATCTGAGGGTTTTGAGACCCACAATAATTTAAATACAGAAAACACATCAGACTTAAAAGCAAATATGATTAACTGTCTGCTTACAACAAATTCCATTAAATATCAGTGGAAAAAATAATTAAGAAAAACAAACCAAAATGTGTTTTCAACTAAATTCTTGAATTTTGTCATTGTGTATGTGCTTGTGTGTTTATCTGTTAAGGTATTCATGGAGTTGATATGGATGTTAATTTTGCAGAATGGTGGATGTAGGAGGCCAAAGATCAGAAAGAAGAAAATGGATACATTGCTTTGAAAATGTCACATCTATCATGTTCCTAGTAGCACTTAGTGAATATGATCAAGTGCTTGTGGAGTCAGACAATGAGGTAAGCAAGCATCAGCAAAAAACACCAGTGTTAAAAAATAACTTCACTTGTCCAGTCCCAGGTGTTTTCAAAACCATCTACCAGCAGTCGTACACAACTGCCCTCAGTGGAGCAAGAAGCACTACAGGAGGAGGGGATCAGCCTTCAAATATGACAAAGCTGATCTGCTCCATGAAGGATTCAAAGAAACCTATGTATTTTGTGTTGAAGGGGAATACAGCTGAATACAGAGAATTGCTCTTTGTGCAGTTTGTATTATGTGGCAGAGCCGCAAAAATAGTGGTGGAAATTAAGACAAAATTTACAGATTCTTGCTAGAACCAGACCCTGAAGTAGTAAACTTCTTTCCTTTGACTTAAAGCATGGGATTTATATTGTATTTTTATTTCAAAAAATAACAGAAGTAAGAAAGTGGATGAGCTGAGGCGGCAAAGCACACTAGCATCCAGTATTTTGAATGCAGTTTTACAGAGTAGGAAGATCAGTTAGATTTTTTTGTCTTTCCTGAGGGCTGTTTTAAGTCATTCATCAAACTTTTATGAGTTAGTCACTGGCACTGTCCTATGCAAGTCTTTTAACACATACTTACAAAAGTTAGGTGAAAAAAAGAAACATTTTAGTGTTCTTCATGGCTGCATACATGTCAATTTCACTGCTTAAGAGAATGGTTGACACAACAAGGTAAAAAGGTGTCCCTGGACATTTCATGTTTATATGCTGAACTTTCTTCAGGATTCATTGTTTAATTAAGTCTGGGAGCTCTGAAAGCTTTTACATTTATAGTCTTTCCACAAAAGAAAAATAGTATTATGTTAGTTATATAGTCAACTATATCATTTACAGCTGAATTTACAAAAATGATGATGTAATCTGCACCAACTTCATCTTTTGTAATTTTGCAAGGTAGGCATGTGTAGATGAAAAGAGGACTTAGTCAGACTTGGCTCATTTCAAGCCAAGCCAGAAATGCCTGGTTCTGTCTTTGTTTGCATTATTCTTTTGTCCCAAAGTCAACACAGAAATACTAAGCATTTTAATTATACAAGTCAAAACAAAATATATTGGAAATCATGTAAAGAAAAATGAGTTGCGGTAATTTTCAAATGCTATTCTTACGATCCAAAATAAACTTCAAAACTTCCTGATGTTAGCTATTTATCACTGTGTTTTCATACTGTCTTTCTTACAGGGAGTTCTTGTACGAACTGTCTCACAGGGAGAGGTTTACCAGACTGGTTCCCTATTACGTGTGTTCTGTTCTAGTTAGGTGGCTTGCTCAGACCCTTGCTCTGGTTTGTCAGATAACTTCGGTGCGCAGATCATGACTTAGAGCATCCCTACTGTGGAAGATGGAGCAGTATCCCCCTAGGCTGAATTATTTAGAGTATACAGTCTTGCTCTGTGTTCACGTAAGCAAAAAGGTTTTGCATGTTGTGAACCGAATAGAACACCCAGCTGAAGATTTCCTTTACATTCTGGGCTCTCCAATGACCAAAGTGATGCCTAAAGTTGTGATAGCTTTTCTATAACTACTTTTCAACTATTATGAAAGAGATCACTTTACTCATAAAGCTGTTTTGATTTTTCAAGTTTTCACTTTCAAAACACTTCGTGGATGCAGAAGCTGTAAAACTCCTCATTGTCTTGCAGATGGTTTTTCCACCTCGCTGCTGAGTGGAAAACTTCTGAACCTTTTTGTCTTTCAGTTTAAAATATGTTAATAACTTTAATTCAAACCAGTGTTTGTTTTCCAGGAGCCTTAGGCCTGTGTTACTCTAGTTCTGGGATGGATCCAGGCTGTCTTAGAGCCAAGCACCTATCTGGGCAGCTTAGTTCTGGCTTTCAGCAAGCTGTAGTCTGTCTGTCTAGATTTTGTTGGTATACCGGAGCACTGCTTTCTTCCCTTCCTTTTCCCTCCCTTGTGTCTCTAAACATTGCAGTCCCAGAACACATGGGAGAAGAATGGGTTTATTTATTCTGCATAAAGCAAAGTGTAGTTTGTCTGAATGTGGGTGAGGCAGAAATACGGGAAAAGGTTTTAAGCATGTTAGTTGACACCTTGAAGTAAGAGATTTACCCACAAAAAAATTTTTTTTATTCACTAGGGTGTGGCAAGCTCAGTAGGGAGGACAGTAATTTAACTTGGAGACTTCGGTAATCAGCCAAGAGATACTTTTTCGCACCCTACCTTTAAACTGAGAAACAGTGTTGAAATTTTAGCACCAGAGTGAGAGTGTGTGTGTAAATGCCCTACTTTCTTAGTATGTGTGTCAACAGTGTGATACTATGATAGAATCTAATCCTCCTTTGATCTGTGTGCCTCTTACTGAAATTAAAAGATCTGACTCGACAACTTGCAGTGTTCTGCTACTCCCTTTGCATTGCTTTCATGGCCTGATTAAACAGTATGATTTTTGTAAGATGGCCTACTTTCTTTTTCTAATTAGTCCACTGCATGTTATTGCCTGAAGTATTTTTCCTTGTAGTATGTTTTTACAAAGAAAACTTTTTAATCAGCTGTGGCATTCTTTTTAGTTAATCCATTTTTTCATTTATCTCATTTTCATAGTTAAATAGAAATCTGTAAGAATTACTATTTGCCATTTGGTGCATGTGTGTTTATATGACTCTTCATCGTTATGAAACTGCTTTTAGAGCCCTTATGACTGGATTTGTATTTCAAAATGTAGTGCCTGATAGACTCTCAGTTGTAAATCCATTTCCTCCCTTGTTTAGATTATTCAAGAGAAATACGTTTGGATTATAAATCAGATGAGATTATACTGAGTTTGGAGTCTTTGCTAGTGTCTCTGAAGGCTTTTACTCACGGGGTGTATGTGGGACTGAGCTGGGAACTGTTTCTGTCTTCATGCCCTTGGAGGAGTTAAGTATTAAAAGTTCTGAGGAATATATTACAACTACTCTGTAAAGGGGCACCATACGTAGAAACTAAGACGAGTGCTCAGGCTGCCTGTGTAGGGTGACTCTTAAATGACACATCCATGAAACTGCATTCCCATGACAAAGATCTGCAGCTAAAGGGTTGGGGGCTTCAATCCCAAAGAAAAGCACACATGGCTGCCCAACTATATTTTAACTATGATTCTTCTAATAGGCAATACTCAGAAACAACATAATCTCTCCTCTCTTAAGTACATGTCTAGATTGTGCATAACTAAGCATCTGATTTTGGTGCGTAAATATAAAACAAGAAGAATTGCTAAGGATATTTATATATTTATATATATTTAAACATATCTCTCAAAAAATTATGATTATGTACCGTTTTCAAATGCCTTTCTCTTCTTAAATACATGTAAAAGGAGAGATAGCTAACTGTTCCAAATTCTGCCCTTAATAAAACAGTAAGTCTGTCTAGATTCATTGGTGGAAATGAGGACAAAATTTGATCCAGAGGACATGATATACTAATTACATTAATAGTACTGTAAATTAAGTAAATCGTCCCTCAGTCTGATATGATGTGACGAAGGAGAACATGTTATGAGTTAAATTATCAGATGTTTGACCTTTTCACTTTCTCAGAAAAGTCTGACAGAATTAGAGGTGAGATAAAAAATAAAGGAATCATCCCTCTGGTAAATTAATTTATGATGTATTATGTCTTCTAGCTCAGGCTTTTGCTCTGAATTATACCAGCAGATCTGGAGAAATTTGCAGTTTTATCAAAAAGCACAGTTTAGAACGTTTGCATTTTTAAAGTCAACTCATTTTCTTAAATAAAGGATTTTTTCCTAGATAACATATATTAATCCATATTCCAGGATATGCTGCATTTAAATATGTATCACAGATAGCTCTTCTAAACATAAAATCTCATGGTCTCAGTGTAATAAATGCAAAAACAAGTTCCAGCTGTGTAAGAGAACCAGTAACTACTTGCAGTTATGGAAGGACTAGAGAGACATCACAGTATGCCTGTGAAATCTGGTTTCATAAAAAGGTTTTCATTACCTTGGCGGAGCCTGTTAACTACCTGGCAACGGCAAAATAAAGGACAGTATTTATTGATGCTTGTACATATTTTTATTCCACATTATCACACTAAAAGTCCTAGGGTGTATATGATTTCATATAGCTTGTATAGGTCTGTGGCCATTAGGAAAATGTGGGCTTTTTATAAGTAGTGGTCCCTTTTCCCAAAGGAAAAACAGAAAAGACAGGATACAATTATCTCAGTTCAGCTAAATGAATGTATTAATAGGCTAAGTGAAATTTTGGAATTTTCTAAACTATCAAAAAGCAAATACTGTCTTTCCCCGGGTATTGTCAGAGGCTGCAAAGCTGCAAAGGCATTGGAAAGCATAAAGTATTCATTGGTAAAAGATAACTTTTAGAAGTAAATCAGTATGAGTACCCTGAACATCCATTGCACAAAAAATTGGGGGAAAAATGCCAGTTGCAATTGTTTTGGTCAGAGCTGATACATTTTGATTTAAAACCAAATAGAAATACAATTGTAAAATGTGAAGTTTTAACAGGATTGGGGATAAATGTTGCTAATATTTACAACTAATACTCCTTCCAGTTTGATTTTTGAGTAAGGAATTTCACTAATGCCCAGCATTATAAATATATACTGTGTATCCTGTATACCTACAAATGTCTTATATATGCATCTCTGTGCCTTAGGAAAGTAATGTTTTTTCACTTTTTTACATCTTAAGCGATTTCTTTTCATTAATGAATGAAACCGCCTGTAAAAGAACCATTGACGTGTCTCTTCTTTTGTTAAAATACTAACATTAATATAACTATAAAAACTTGGATTTCTTAGGTGGTTTATCTGCTAGGTTTTCACTGGCCTTGTATAACAAAGCAAATAGAACCAATTTTACTGTTAAGGTCTAATTCATTTATATATCTTATGCAGACAGGTAATTTGCAACCCTTTTAAGAGATTTATTAAGAACCATTATTGGTTCTTTTTAATCAGAAAAGGAGGATATTCTTGTCAAGCATCATACTGTTATTTTTTA